CTGATGCACCTCAGGGATCTGAAGCATCTCAGGGATCTGAAGCACCTCAGGGACGTGATGCATCTCCCTGATGGAAGCAGTCGCAATAGCTGGTGTCCTGGATGAGAAGAGTCTGACACAATTGGCTGTGCTCTACTTAGACCTGTGAAGCTTACAATGCTCTCCAGGGTGGGCAGGGGGCAGCTGGTGATCTTTTCAGATGATCTAGTAACCTACTGTATAGTACTCTGACCGCCGTTAGTTTTTCTGTCTTTTATAGCTCAGTTGTTTGCTAAATCAATCAATCAATCAATACTTTATTAATCCCAGAGGGAAATTAGAGTTTCAGTACTCACAATTCAGAGATCAGACATACTGGGCAAGACACATGACAAGAATTGGTGACTGTGGTCATTCGCAACCCGAGTCGCACTACGCTTTTTATATTTTTACATTTTTTGTTTTTGTGAAGCACCTCGTGATTTTTATCTTGAGAGGCGCTATAGAAATGATATTTTTCTTCTTCTTTCTTTCTTCTTGTTAATAGAGATAAGAAGGTTACATGAGGGTTGGATCAGGTGGAGGGAAAAAAAGGCAATTCAGAGTTACCCTCCCACCAAGAGGCCAGCTTTGCTCAGCAAAAAAACACCTCAAACAAATATGCAACAGACTTCAGACAGCACAACATAACATAAGACTCCAATAGGAAGGCCGGGGGGTGGGGGGGGGGTGGGGGTGGGGGGTGGGATCCTGTTTCTCCCAGCGAGAGCAGCCATCTACGGTGCTTATCTACTGTACAGTCACAGGTGGGAGGGAGATCTTGGGAGAAGCAAAGAGCACATTGACTCCTCCAGCTGATGACCTCGCCAGGCTGAAGGCCACCAATCCGAAGTCTTTGAACTGATCATTCCAGTCCTTCAGTGAAGCCAATTTGGGTTTTAAAACTTGTCCTTACCGTGCGGTGACGCTCTCCGAGATGCCGCCCATTTTGTGCACTAATACCGGTATCGCAGCTAGAACATTGTCCAGCTTACGATTCAACTCGAGTAACGTCCCAGTCTGAGAAGTCTCCACACGGACGGTGCTTTCCGTGGGTGTGGATCTCCTTCCAATCCCTCCCGTCTTCCCAAATTTCCAGAAAACCAGACATCCTCCCACTCCAATCAGGAGAAATCCAGTGATCATCAGGCCGAATATCCACACGTCTTCGATATCCTCAATGGACAGCTGGGAGAGGCATATGATCTTCCACTCCTTCCAGGAATCCAACATATATCCCACCGGGTGTGTCCCCTGTGGACATGTGGGAGCCCCCTGCTCCGTTCTCATTGTTGAAAAAATCTTATCGATCACATTGAATGACCAGTTTATCAAATCCATGGTTAAAAATAGTGTTTTTCAGAAGAAATGCAGAGAAGCGCTCTGTGGGCAGACAGGACAAAGAGCCTCGGGAAAAAAAGATAAGGGAGCGAAAGAGGGAAGTGTCTGTACTCCTCGAGTGCCAGAAGAAATCAATGAAATACATTTTCCCATTATTGATCACAAATCACCCATGTGGGTAGAAAAACAAATAATTTTAGAAATGTCAGCAGATTTACTAAAAAAGACAAACTGAAATATCACATGGTCCTAAGTAGTCAGACCCCTTGTTCAGTGTTTAGTAGAAGCACCTTTGAGCTGATACAGCTCTTCTTCTTCGTCGACTTCTTGGTAAAGATGCAACACGTGTCTTACACCTGAGTTTGGGGATCCTCTCCAGTTCTGTTGAGTTGGATGGTGAACGTTGGTGGAGCCATGTTTAGATCTCTCCACAGAAGCTCGCTTGGGTTTGAGTCAGGGCTCTGGCTGAGCTAGAACAGTCAGAGTGGCCGTGAAGCCACTCCTTCGATCTTTTTGCTGTGTGCTCAGGGTCGTTGTCATGGTCGAAGGTAGACCTTCGGCCCAGGCGGAGGTCCTGAGCACTCTGGAGAAGGTTCTTGTCCAAGGTATCCATGTAGTTGCTGCATTCATCGTTCTGTCATCCTGTCCCTGCAGCTGAAAAGCACCCCACAGCATGATGCTGCCACCGCCATGCTTCACTGTGGGGACTGTATTGGACAAGTGATGAGTAGTGCCTGGTTTTCTCCACACATACCACTCAGAATTAAGGCCCAAAAGTTCCATCTTGGTCTCATCAGACCAGAGAGCCTTGTTTCTCACCTTCAGCTGTCCTTTAGATAACTCCATGCAGACTTGCATGTGTCGTACACTGAGGAGAGGCTTCAGGTGAGACTCCGTCTTAAAGCCCTGACTGGTGGAGGCTGCAGTAATGGTTGACTTTCTACAACTTTCTCCGTCTCCTGCTGCATCTCTGGAGCCCAGCCACAGTGATATTTGGGTTCTTCTTTACCTCTCTCACCAAGGCTCTTCTCCATCGGTAGCTCAGTTTAGCTGGATGGCTACTCTAGGAAGGGTTCTGGTCATCCCTAACGTCTTCATCTAAGGATTATGGAGACCACTGGGTTCTTAGGAACCTTAAGTGCAGCAGAGATGTTTTTGGTAACCTTGACCAGATCTGTGCCTTGCTACAATTCTGTTTCTGAGCTCTTCAAGCCGTTCCTCTGACCTCATGGTTCTCATCTGCTCTGACATGTGAGCTGTAAGGTCTGTTATAGACAGGCATGGCTTTCCTTATCAGGTCCATTCAGTAGAATCAAACACAGCTGGACTCCAGTGAAGATGTAGGACCATCACAGCAAAGGGTCTGAGTACTTAGGACCGTGTGATGTTTCAGTTTGCCTTTTTAAGAACTGAAGACATTTATAAAGTGTTGTGTTTCTCTGTCAGCGTGGTGCTGTGTGTACGTTAATGAGGACACATGAATTCAATGGATTTTAGCAAACAACTGCTTCATGTCCTCACTGTAGTTCTGCTGATTACAGTGTACGGTGGTGTGTGTGTGTGTGTGTGTGTGTGTGTGTGTGTGTGTGTGTGTGTGTGTGTGTGTGTGTGTGTGTGTGTGTGTGTGTGAGGGCTCTGCATGAGGGTCTTCCTCCCTTCATGTGGTCTCTGGCTGCTGCCACAGTGAGTGTAATTGTGTTTACAGTAAGGCTCCTGCCCACTGGTTCTGGCTGAGGAACAAACACTTACTGGATCTGGATCAGCTGGAGGCCGAGTGCTGTTGTGTGGGATTTAAATACAGAGTACGTTCAGGTATCTGCATCACAAAGTGCGGTGCTAACATTAATTCTTCTCATGCTGCACATCTGAATCAGTCTGTTTGTTAGAAATGACTAAACCATTCCCAGAGCTTCCCATGAAGGGCCCACCGGTTCAGTCATGCTCCAGCTTTAGCCAGTTTCAGTGTTTTATGTGACAAAGTGTCAGATTTAGCATTTCCACTGAACATGTTTTTAATTCATGGCCACAATAATAATAATAATAATAATAATAATAATAATAATAATAATAATAATAATAAATACAAGAATCTGTGTCAGACTCAATCCAGAGCGATTCTCTTCAGATCATCTTCTCTTAGCTAAAGGATGTCTCAAATGCCAGATTTGCATTAGATGAATTCTTCTTTACTGCTTAAAGGCTTTGCAGTGCTCCTCCCTCCTGAATGAGAACCCAGGAACCAATGTCTACCCTTACAGACTTGAGACTTCACACTGTCCACATGTCCCACATGTCCCACATGTCCCACATGTCCCATGGACTCAAATCACTTCAAGGGTCCAGAAGTGTTTTAATCCTCAGACAACAACAGGGAGTGGAGATGTGACCTGGAACCAAGTTTCTCATCTTTATTGTATTTAAAGCTGGAATGTTTCGGATTTGAAAACAATGTTGAGATGTTAAGACCAAGACTGTTTGTTAACATCGCCAGTTTATCTAGCGGGAGTCCTCGGTCAGAACTGTAAGGAAACGCCATCCAACCCCTGAAGTGGCTGCTGGTTTTCCTGAAACCTTTAACACGAGCCCTCCTATTAATTTATTCACCTCATGTGATTTTATTGTTAATGATTTTAATCTGCTCTCGACCGGCTCGCTCCACTCAAAGCTCCAAGCAACAGCTGAAAAAAGCAACGCCACGGGGAAACGTAAACATAAAGCAGCTAACGAGAAACGGCAGGGTGGCAGAGAGAATGGATTACCGTAAATGGGTAATTCCACCGAATAGGTGCCATTTTTTATGCAAGTACATCAAATTAAACTGGGTTTTAATGCAATCTTCAAAAGTAAATCTAGTAACACACTTATTTAACTATTTCAAATGACCATTGGTCAATCTTGAATGCCTTTAATTAATTTTTTACATGTTTTTTTAGATGAACGTGTTTGCTTTATTTTCAGTCCTGTTACCAAAACTCATGTAACATCTTAAAAAGCACTTATAGAAGACTGTCAGCTAATTCCTTCATTTTCCCCACAAGAAAATGTTTATTTTAATAAAAAGGTTAGTTTTAAGTTCAAACATTTAATGTCTGTTATACAAAAATTCACATTAACATACAAAAGTTGTAATTTTTTAAACGATCAACAGCCATATTTATCATTTCAAGGAGACACAGGGCTCTAGTTAATCACAGTTATTCTAATGTAGTTCAGTAAAATATTTAATAAATGATGGAACAAATATGATTGAAAAACTAAGTTAATTTTTAATCTTTTTTACAGACAAACAAGTGAGTAACAAAAATGAACAATGAGCTTTGTGTGGCCTTGTCTAAGGCACACTGTCCAGTTGGTACCAGACCCCCTTTTCAGTCGCCATAGTGAGATGTGACCTGCCTCAGGGGTGGGATGATGCACAAAATGTCCTCAAAGAGGTACCACAGCAGGTCTTCGTGCTGGCCAGAAAAACCTGTTGACCCCAATTTTGTGCATGCAACGGAGCTCAACATGTGTTTCACATGTATCTGTGATGGCACCTGGGTAAATATCATCATTATACTTCACCACACACCATTTGCCAACAATGTGACATGTTTTGAGGAAGATGTCTAACCCAAGACATACAGAATCAAGCACGGAGATGATGTAAAGGAAGAACAATAATTTATTAAAATGTGGATGTGAACTGAAGGTGTTCTGAAGATCCAACGGGAGGACGAGTCCGGAAGCGGTAACTAGGGGGAAGACCAGAGGTGAGTAATGGGAATTGTAGTTCGGAGGAATTGTTTGTGGGCGGAACTTACGATGAGGAAGTCCGGGATGAATGCGGAGGGGAGATGAGCCGGGGTGATATCCAGAGAAGACTTGTGATATCGGGGTGGATGAGCTGAGCTGACGAGGTGGATGAAGATGAGGCAGAGGAGAGAGAGCGTAATCGGTGGAGAGCGGGGCGGCTGGGTGGAGTCGTAATCCAGGCAGCGAACCGGTGAATATTCCTATGGTTTGGAGACGGGAACGGATCCAACGATGGTAAGTCTGTCGGTGAATGTCCAAAGAGAGAAAAAGAGCACAGATTAAAACGGGTTCCAAAGTCTCAAAGGTTCAAAGCTAAGACGAGGTTCGAAAACTACGAGAGGCTTGAGTCTACCAGGCAGATAATCATCCAGCGTCGAATGAGGATATTCCTCCTCCTTTTAAAGCCGCCCCACTGATCAGTCTGATTCGGATCAGCTGCGCTCCCTCTCCTGCAGGCAAAAAACCTCAGAGATGATGAGATGATGGGCAGAGTACTCACCCCGACTCATGACACAATGTCTGAACTTTGCCACATAATTTCTGTGGCTCTGGGTGCTGCCTGTTGATGATCCAACGTGAAAGACTTTGCATGAAAGCACTTACACGTTAGATTTTGTCTTGTTGTGCACAAGCAGCTGATATCCCTGTATGTCAGTTCTCCTTTGAGCAAGGGTTGCTACCTGATGTATCCTCATTGTGGAGGGAATGGATGGCACATCATTTGGCATCTCCTGAACAGCTTTCTCCACTGCTTCCTCATTGACAAAAAACAACTTGATTGTTGTTTCTGTCATGAGGAATGTCTGTCCCTTTGCTGACCAGAGTGTCGGCTCTCCTCTTCAGAGCTGCTCCTACACCATCTGGTGCCTCCTTCCCGTGGCTCGCCTCAAAGAAGTTCCAAGTTCCAGCAGTGAATCCTTGTTTGAACAGCTCAGTACAAAACATGAAAAAATTCCCTCGCTGTCTATACTGAGTGCATGGGCCATCACTGCAAAAATGGATTGTGGAGACTTCTGGATGCGCCATCTGCACATAATCAAGGACTGGTGACAAATGCTGCCAGATTTCTGGTGGACCCTTCAGGCTTGAGGGGGACACTGAGCAGAAGGACATAGGACGGGAGGATGTGTTCACATAAAGCACACTTGTGAGCAGTGTTGCCTGCTGGTGTGATGCTCCAAAGTGGACAGCCTGTATTTCTGTGCTGTACTTGCAGAGGTAATTTTCAGAGAAGTCAACATGAATTAAACATTCATGTGATTTCAAGCCCTGTCTCAGTGCCCTGTAGTGGGTAAACTGATTCTTGATGTTGTAAGAATGTCTCTTAAACCTGTGCAGCAGCAGGTTCAGCTGGTCCAGAAGTTCTTCTTGTGTGGCCTGGGATTCTTGTTTGATTGTGATTTTAGATGTTTTGCCACTGGGGTCATTCTTATGCTCCTTATCCACTATTGCCCATTGGATGTCTCTTGACTCTCTGGATTGTACTTGGAAGAGACGGGCAGCATAGGTTCTTGCACTCCAGGTTTTCTGTGTCACATGCGATGGTTTTCACAATATCATCCAGGTTGATAGTGCTGATCACTTTCAAGTGGTGCAGCTTCTGCACAATAAAACCCAGATTCTCATGCATCTTGCACATGCATGTGTCCCGATCACTCAGAGTTGGATGAACAACTCAGAAAGAACGAAGCAAACAGAAGAGTGAGTAAGAGATGGAGCTTTGCTCTTCAGCTAAAAACTTCATGTGCAAATTTTTCATGGTCTCCAAAAGGAAATGTTTCTGCTTTTTAGTTTTCCTCCAAGTGACGGTCCGCCTCTTCCCTGTTGTGATACGACTAACATCATCCCTTGTGTAGAAAGCTCTCACTAGGGTTAGGGTCTAACCCTCTCTAAGGCTGAGCCCGGCCACCCTACGGAGGAAACTCATTTCGGCCGCTTGTATCTGCGATCTCGTTCTTTCGGTCATTACCCAAAGCTCATGACCATAGGTGAGGATTGGGATGTAGATGGACCGGTAAATCGAGAGCCTGGCTTTCTGGCTCAGCTCCCTCTTCACCATGACAGATCGGCTCAGCGTCCGCATCACGGCAGACACTGAACCAATCAGCCTGCTGATCTCCCGATCCCTCCTACTCTCACTCGTGAACAAGACCCCGAGATACTTAAACTCCTCCACTTGAGGTAGGACGTCTCCCCCGACCCGGAGTTGGCAAGCCACCCTTTTCCGGTCGAGAACCATGGTCTCAGATTTGGAGGTGCTGATACTCATCCCAGCCGCTTCACACTCGGCCGCGAACCTACCCAGCAAGAGTTGAAGGTCAGAGCTGAATGAAGCTAGGAGGACCACATCATCCGCAAAAAGCTGAGACTAGATTCTCCTGCCACCAAACTTGACAGTTTGTTTAGGTAACAGGACTGAGTGTAAACCTAGGGACACAACTAAAATGTGTATTTTAACAAATAAAGTATATAATTGTTATGAAAAAAATATTTGTGAAGCATAGACAGGATATAGAGCCACACAAAAATGCAACAAAAAAAAGATACATTTTGGGGGATTTTATTAATTATATTTCACTCTAAAGAGTAATGTTAAAGATCAAGGACAGGTGAAAAATGCATGCACTGAAATTTTTTTTCAGTGTTCAAAGTAGTTTTTATTATTGTTGCCATCATAGATGTTAAATTTACACTCAGATAATTATGCTGGACCTTTTGCTTAATAACAAAATGTATTTACCCGTACATTTTCATGCACATTGATTCAAAAAAGTTCCTGGGGATGGAAATGGATGGAAATGGCATCCATTCAGGTGGAATGCCCCTATCATCAGAAACACACAGAACTACTAAAAGTCATATAACAATGCAGTTACACAAGCAATAAATGACTACTTTTCCAGAATCATCTCAAATCATAAAAATAATCCCAGAATTTGGTTTTTCATGATTGGCAGCATTTTTACTCGTGATTCTAACTTTCTTCAGAAACTCCCTCAAACACTCTCTGTGAGGAGTTTGCAGCCCACTTCAGAGGGAAGGTAGACACTGCCAGATGTAACATTTTATCCTCTGGGGTGCCATGTCAGCTGCTGGTGTTGGTCCTCTGTGTTTTCTCAAGGCAGGGCAGGGTCAATGCAGCTAGCTATCAGGAGATTTTGGAGCACTTTATGCTTCCATCTGCTGAAAAGCTTTATGGAGATGAAGATTTCATTTTTCAGCACGACCTGGCACCTGCTCACAGTGCCAAAGCCACTGGTAAATGGTTTAATGACCTTGCTATTACTGTGCTCAATTGGCCTGCCAACTCTCCTGACCTGAACCCCGTAGAGAATCTGTGGGATATTGTGAAGAGAAAGTTGAGAGACGCAAGACCCAACACTCTGGATGAGCTTAAGGCCGCTATTGAAGCATCCTGGGCCTCCATAACACCTCAGCAGTGCCACAGGCTGATTGCCTCCATGCCACGCCGCATTGAAGCAGTCATTTCTGCAAAAGGATTCCCGACCAAGTATTGAGTGCATAACTGAACATAATTATTTGAAGGCTGACTTTTTTGTATTTAAAACACTTTTCTTTTATTGGTCAGATGAAATATGCAAAGGTTTTCATGAGCTGTATGCCAAAATCATCAATATTAGAAACAATAAAAGACTTGAACTACTTCAGTTGTGTTTAATGAATCTAATACATATGAAAGTCTAATGTTTATCAGTACATTACAGGCAATAATGAACTTCATCACAATATGCTAATTTTTTTAGAAGGACCTGTATTTTAGAATGGATCAGTACATTTTTGAGCACACAGGAATAGCTAACCTGTTCCTGTATCCTGCTCGGAGACTAAGCAGCCATGTCAGTTTTTCATAGACTTCAGCTATTTAGCCATAAATGAACAAATACTTCTAAAAACTATAGCATGCCTTACGATGTAACACAGAATTCTCATAAAATGAATAAAGTTGAAGATATTTAAAGTAAAATACAAGCTAAATGTGATGACAACACAGACATTCTTAATAGATCGAACTGAAATAAAAAAAAAACATAAAAAACAGAAATAACATTTCTTCCTGTTTTCTTAAGTCATTGAATTGTTTTTATGGGTTTCATTTGCTCATGAAACTTGAGTTTTGCTTCACCAGTGAATAACTGAAGGTAAACTGATGCTTTACTGCATTTTTTGTTGAGATTATCAAAAGAAGGTTGGAGGTTTATCCTTTTTATCTGCCTCTGAATTGTCTCTGATGTCTGTGTGCAAAACAGAGCAGCAGCAGGAGAGAGAGGGAGAGCTTTAATACTGGTATTTATCACCAAATGAGCTAATCAGCTGAAACTGTTGAGGGAAATGTGATGAAATGCAGGATATTCCATTACCTCTATGTGTGGCTTAGAAACCATCTGACCAGGCCAGCATTAACATCAAAAGTTGCAGTAATTGATCTGCAGAAATGTGAGGTTGGATGGTAAAATTCACAGATAACAGCCTTGCTTTGATGCCTTCTAAATGTTCCTGTTAGTTAGTAGTAAGCTAAATTCTAAGGGTTGGCCTTTTCTCACACCATCTAACTCAGCACAGCTTGGAGCAACTTGTCCAAACTTTTGATCACATTTCAGCATTTTGTGATGACATTTTTGCCACTGGATCAGTGATAGAATAGATTCTCTTTTTAGAGCTGGTCGAAACGCCAGTGGTGTCGTCAGCTTGAATAGCAAAGAGACTTGGCACCAAGCCACTGACAACTCCAGAGTTGTTTGCATAGGTGTCAAGTGACAAAGTACAATGTGACAGTTGTGTCCTCGAGCAAGACACTTCACTCTCCTTACCTGTTGGTGATGGTGCCAGTGCTCAGCAGCCTTACCTGCCAGTGTGTCCCAGGGCAGCTGTGGCTAGGATATAGCTCATCATCACCAGCATGTGAATGGATGAATGATTCACACATTAACAGTCTTTCCTGCTGCCTTTAAACAGGCGGTGGTGAGGCTCTGCTGAAGAAGAGCAATTTAGATTTTAATGATTTAAACATCTTTCAACTGGTATCTAACTGACCGTTTTTAAGCAACATTTTACAAAAGCTTGTGTTAAATCAACTTAACGATTTTATAAACACTAATGATGTCCTAGAGAAATTTCAGTCTGGTTTTAGGGTGAACCACAGCACAGAGACGGCCCTTCTGAAGATTTTAAATGAT